TTGAGTATGTACTTTACATAGGCCTACTTCAAGAACGTGATTTCACAACCACCTCAGCCCCACCTTGGCTGGGGCTCAGGTGAGTAAATTTGAGGAAATAGTACCTCTCGAGATGGCCGGAAATGACACTTTTATATAGTAAAATTCATCATCATCACATTACCATTATAGTCAAAATGAAACGCCAACAAAATTGTCATGATCTTTTATCAGGGATCTACTTAATATCCTTAACTTAGGCCTAATTATAGCTTACTAAGCTTTAACTATATATACTATATTATGATCAACAAATCACAACTTTTTAACGCATTTAGCACAATTTTCTTCACTTTTTATTGTTATTAATATTAATATCAATTATTTTTATCGTCCTCATCATCATTGTTATTATTATTATTACTATTATTATTATTACTATTAGTAGTAGTATTATTAAACAAACATTTAAAAAACAAACATTGCAATAGGATAAAATGACAGTATCGCATTTCTATCTTAAAAGACCTGGCCTGAGGTTTATGAATTTAAGATTTTTTTTAATCACGCTTAGGCCTATGTCTTCTATTAGGCCTATGTATAACGTGTACTGATGCATTACATGTTTAGAAGTATTAATTTTGAGTGATCCCAGGAAAGAATTTGTATTGGCTTTAAGAATAAGCTTTAAAATGTTAACACTGTGTACAAAGGGGGGGGGGGGAGCCGCGGCTCCCACGGCTCCCCCCCTGGATACGTCCTTGATATGAATAACAATTCTGTAAACATTAATGGTTTCGACTTACTTCGCCTTGATCGATCTAAGGACGTCACAAGGAAATCGAAAGGTGGTGGATTATGTTTTTATGTGAACAATCGTTGGTGTAGCAACACCAAAGTCTTATCTACCATTTGTGATAAGAATATTGAACTGATGTGTCTCGCACTTCGTCCATTTTATCTTCCGCGGGAGTTCTTTATTGTATATACCACCGGACGCTAATGCTGATTATGCTTCTAATATTATGACCAATAACAATCACCCTCTATACCATGAGTATAATTGGTTAAAATTTGGCAAGCGTCTACGCAGCACTCAATGTAGAACTAACCGGTATTTGAATTCGTTCATTCCATTCTCCATCAGATTATAACAATAACGGCTAGATATAATCTCTCTATACTCAATACCAGGTCTTATCTCTGTATATTTTTACTTTATACTGTTTTGTATATTTTTGCTATTCTTAGTTTTTATTTCTTTGTAATTTTGTATTTCATTGTATTGCGATTGTTGCCTTACATGAGTTTCCACAAGGACCAAATAAATTTGAATCTGAATCTGAAACATTGATCCCATCGAAAATCACTTAAAACAATTTCACTTAAAAGTAAATAAAGAAAAAACAGAGTATACTATTATAATTAAAAGAAAAAAAAGTCATTGAAAAAGAGGATTTGAGAAAAACAAAGAAAGTTGGGTCTCTTCTGGACGACACAGAAGATATAGCCTGACGAAAACAGTTAGCGTCCACTGCAATGAACAAATTATCAGCTGTTTGGATAAGAAAAGGCAAAATTAAAGAGAAAGTCAGACTAAAACTATATAACTCACTAGTCAAGCCAATACTTCTCTACAACAGCAGCACATGTTGTGCTAAAAACATATTTCACAAGAAACACCTTCGACAATTGATAAAAATAAAATATCCTCATAAAATTTCTAATAAAAAACTGTACACTAGATGCCAATCCCGACCAATATCACTAGACACTTTTGAAGCCCGGTGGCGATTGACGGATAACATCCAAAGACACGATAACTCAACACCCACGAATATAACAATAGACTTCTATTTCAGCACGACCAATAACAAAAATAAAATGTTGAAGTGAAGAAACTCTCTCCGATTCAGTTTTCTTCCACGGTGGTTGTTTACCCATGATTTTCCGTATAATTTCGTGAAAGGTCGCATATTTTAATTGGCTCATATTTAAGTAATGTAACTAATTTGTCGTGGATTTGTTTATCTTCTATATACATATGTCAACGCCGATCGCGAATTTGTGACCGCGGCCCACGACCTAAAAGTGAACTTTTTCTCATGCGCAGATGACTTTTAGTGAAGTCATTACGTTCTACAGCCTATCGTCATCTTGCAAGCGAAAGCTCCAATATTTTGGCTATCAACGTACAGTATCATCATTTATCTTCAGGGAGTTGTAAGTAAATTATCCCAGACTCCCTGCTGAAATAAAACAGTTTATTTTGGCTCTATCGTCGTAAGTATGCATTGACAATCCGAAAAAATAGCCACACAGAAACTGGCAGTAGGGCCTAGCCAGTCTAAAGCTAAAGCATAAGATCGACCATGATGGAGTTATTTATCTATAAGTTTATGATTCGTCCAACCCTAGCCAGAAGAATAAAAACAATAATAATTTATATTTAAAAATGTAATATAAATAAAATAATTATAATATAATAATAACAACAATAATAGTAAGAACTCAAGCTTAAAACAAACTGTATACCGTAGACCTACACCAATTATATTACTCTGATTTCTATATTTTATACTTTCCACATTTCTCATATTTTGCACTGAGTGCATCCTCAATAATACATTTTTTTAAGTTTGGAAATATAAATCAAATTTTCATAGGAAATATTTCTTGTTTATGTGTATACTGAAACTAAATAAAAGTACAGCAAATTGTAAGGTATATTCCAAAAACTGGTAGAAATAGCCTTGATATCCTTGTTAAAAAACGAATATTAAGTTATAAATGGAGGCGTATTTCTCAGGATGAAGAAACCATTCAAACGTAAAATAATTTTTACAATAAATAAATATAGATAAATGACAATAACTAATCTTATATAAATAAATGAAAACCAACTGACCTCGTTCATTCTAGTATCAAACGTTGTCAGTGCTTCTTCAAATTGTTTTTGATTTTCAGTTCTTGCGGTTGCCTGTATTCAGTGAAAATACGAGGTATTTATTGCCTACCTGTGAAATAATTTCTGATTAAATAGACATGTGGATAATCACATCTGAACTGCTGTATTATTATAATTTTCTTTTAGTTTATATATTTGTAGTAATTCGCAAGTTTGGTGGATAAGATACTTGCATTATAATTTAAGGGTTGCTAGTTCGAATCCAGGATTTAAAAAAAGCAACTCTACTTTCTAAGCCAATCCAATTTGGTCATTTATAATGCGCATTTCCTTACACATACGAAGCACTGCACCTCACATACTCAGGCACCTCACAATTCAAAGGCAGTCATGATCAATGCCAAACCCAAGCAAGAACCCGTACACCCGGCGTTAATGGTCCACCTAGATTGGGAATGTTTAATTTCAATCATATCATGTATACACAGTTGGGGGGATGCAGTAGACGGTACGATCGCACTCGTCTACCTAAATTGTATTAAGGAAAATAATTGTTGTATTATATTGTTGACGTATTATATTTTTCATTATGAAAATAGTACCGGTAAGATTTTTTAAAGTATGTGAGTGCAAATTCTATGCACCTTGAGGTCCATATTTTTTCACCTCAGTCCCAACCATGGTGGGGCTGAGGTGGTGTTGACTCACGCTTTAACTGCTAAATCCTGCATCCGCCCCAGCACAGTGTAGTATCAAATTTGCATTTGTGGGCATTTGGATCGTAAACAACCCGCCGTTTACCTTTTTTTTTTTGAATGTTTAGCTTTCTAAATGCACTCCTCCACATTGATTACGATACGGAAGTGGAACTTGAAACTGCCGTTGACTGTTATGTTCGCAAGCATAGTCGTACTAGACAGTTTGTTACGTTAATTAAAAATTTAAAATATACCTAAACACAGCCTCATTTAAATAGCGTTAATAATGCCCAGATGTCCTGGACCCCGGCGGTGGCCCTAGGCGACCCCCTTCCCCAGCCAGGTTTGGTCCGTTTCCCTGAAAAAAACCCCATTCACAACCAAGGGTACGGGCTTGTAATATGTATAATAAGTAAAATTAACAAATATATATAAAATAAAAATATATACAATATATATTATATAAATAGAAAGTATGTTGTTTATTTTTTGAATTATGGAATAAATAGAATGGTACATTAAACAAAACTATAAAATATGTTATTGTTTGTACTCTGTAGGTGTTTGTTTTGCTATGATATGAACTGGCTACAGTAGGCCTCCCTAATATTAATTGATAATGTTCCATTGGCTGAACAAGAAACTCACTTCCATCAAATTGTTTGCCGCAATGTATTTCATCATTTTACTTTTGATATCTTCTATTAATGTTTTTTCTAATTCTTCATACTTCACAGTGCGATTGAAGCCACATTTTTGCTTGAAGTCCTCCACTGCTTGCTTTTTCTTTTCCTCAAAAATGTCATCAATGTGGTCTTGGTAGATTTTACACAACTGTCAGTAAAAGGAAAAAATAATTTCTAACATTGTGAAAGCATATAATAGTAGCAGATTTTCTGATCTGATTGTTTATTATCATTATGGTAATTGCAACGTAGAAACCTCATTTAAATATTATTATAGGCCTAAACATTTCATTTTAGCTTGCAGTTATACTATATTTCATTTATCACGACACATTGATAAATCATACATATACAAATTAAGCATTTAAATTTTTGCCAACATGAAAGGTGACTAACCCCTTTCCTCTCAAGTTTAAGATTGATATTGTTTTTTTCAGTTAGTCAATTTTCAGTCAATACAATAATAGGCAACAAATAATCAAGCAAACCAATATTATAATAACACAACTTATCAATTTGTTACAAACAAAATTTCAAAGGAACCTAAAACATATTCGAGGAATATATAATATATAGGCCTATAATAAATAAATATGTATAATTAAAAATATAATAGAAATAAATTACAAAATAATGTGAAAAACAATGGCTGGAACTCGATTAAAATAAAATTGATAAACAAATATTTAAAGCCTTCAGTATTTGCAAGTGATAATACTTATAATACATGTATGTACATAATATACTATGTAAATTATAGGCCTAGCTATGTGTATGTTTCTGAGTGAAAATGCATATTTGTAATAAAATTTTATTAGTTTTATTTTTACCTCATCAATTTCTTTTTCAAAATTACGTATCACATCCAAAAGAGATTTTCTTGCATGTGCTATAGCATTAGCCTGTAAAATAAAAATTTCGATATATTTTAATTTCTTTAACTATGTCTACATTAGTGGCGGATTCAAGAAGCCCCAAGCGGCACGCCCCCCACCCACTTGTTAATAAAAGCAGAAATATGACTTCACAACTCAAAATAGTTATTAGCAGGACTCGGTGACCGACTAAAACACATACCTCCCTCTAACCTTGACGTTAATCAGTAATCAAAATATTTTCTGCCCTCCTTACCTCTATCTTCATTAATGAGACCTTTAGTATTTTTAAACGCACGGTTGATGGAAAAAATCTATTTACAACTAGCTTATTGACATCTTTACCAAAGATGTTTTAGTAGTCAAATATTGTACGTAGGATATGGAGAGTGTGGAGAGTGTAACTCTCAGCTTCTATTAGCTATATGCTTCCTTTATTTGGCAGGTAATCTCTCTTTATTGATTCTTTCATTAAAATAGTGAAAACGAAACATGACAAAATTCAAAAAGCCACATTCAAAAAGATAGCATAATCGACATTACAATTATGCCTACTAAGTACAAGAGTGACACCATCAATGTCGTGTGCATCAGTAACAGTAATAGTATTAGTAATGATAATATAAATAATAACTAGCAACAGCTACAACATTAACAGCAACACAGCAACAATAACAAACAACGACGACGACGACAAGAATAATAATAACTAGACTTACTATGTCTGTTTGTACAACAGAACATAGGGCTTTTCCTCATTGCTATAATGAGAAATTAATTTGAAATTGCAACAAAAAATTGTTAAAATACATAACGTAAAAAAACCAAGGAAAACCAAAATATTTATAGTACTAAAAAAAATTACGAAGTAAAAAAAAAACTGCTGCAATGGTAAGAGCGTACAATGAGATTCATAGCATGAGGCCAGAACATTTTTCGTTGCTGCAGTTGGTTTAAACCCTTTAAAAAACGCAAATTGCGTTTATATAATTTAATTAACTGTCCAAAAATTTTTTTAATGGTCTTCATATCCACACCCTACTCAGGATCGTCACCAAAAGTTGGACCATGAAAAACTATTCTGCAAAGTTTCATTTTGATTCATTTATAACTGAGAAGTAAGCATTTTAAATAATCCTCAATTTCACACCCGAATTTGGATTGTCACCAACACCTAAACATTTCTCCCTTGTAACTTGGTTAAACTTTCCCAAAAGTTTAATTCAAATCAGTTAATCCGTTTGTGATATCTCAGGTCTGGGACGTTTTTCTTTGAATTTAATCATTTTGTTTTATTGGACTATGTCAAACTATTATAGAAAGTTTAATTTAGGTCCACTGATAAGTATTTTGAAATATTTAGGTCTGGACCTCAGAAATTTAAATGACCTTAAATTTACACCCTAAACTAGATCATCACCAACACATAATAATTTCTTCCTTGTAAGTTGATTAAACTTTTCCGAAAGTTTCAATCAGGTCATCAATTGATCCGTTTTTTAAATATCCTTTCCTTTGAATGGTCCATATATCCACACCCAACTCCGGATCGTCATAAACATGTAATCATTTATTTACTAGACCTTTACAAACTATTATAGAAAGTTTCATTTAGACCCATTGATTTTTTTTTTTAGATATTTAGGTATGGGACCTCAAAAATTTATATAACACTCAAATTTACACTATAAACTGGATTGTCTGCAACACTAAATAAATTCTTTTTTGTAACTTATTTAAACTTTTCCGAAAGTTTCAATCAGATCAGTTGACCCGTTTTGAATTATCTGGTGTAGAGTGTTTTATGAATTGGGGACTTTTAGATAAGAGAAAATAGCATTTTAATACAAGCAAACTAGGAAAATTACTATATCCATCCATCATGGTTGAGGCTGAGGTGAGAACATGTTAACAATTAGGGACTTTTAAATCCAGGTAATGGCACTTTAATACTTAAAATGTATGTCGGTTAAATTTAACATTTAAAAAGGGGCACTTTATATTTCTTTTCAACCCTTGAAAGGGGAATGTGGTGCTCAGGCACCCTCAGCACCCCCTGGATATGACACTGCAGCATTATCTTCCATGTTCTCTCTTTATCGAGTACACCAGGTAAATGATGAGCAAAGTTATAACTTTTTATTTGACTGTTTTCCACAAATCCCTGTTTTCCATAAGCTGTGGAATGTACTGCCACTGTGTGTTTAGATCCTTTTCTAATTGATAAATGTATGTAGTCGGGGCCATCCTTGCTTCCTTTTCCCATGTATTGGTTCCCAATTGGGAAACCCTTGAAATAAATTCATTTTTACTTCTGTAGCAATGTTCAGCAAATCCTTTATTTCTTTATTAATTTTCAAATGCCTTACATAAAATTGCAATCACAGAAAAATATTTGAATACATTTAAGGCAGACGGGGAGTTCAGACACGGAGTCCATCAGCCGGTAGCCCCTTTGAGATACAAATTAAACAAGCATAAGGGAAAATCAGAAAACAACTAGTCCAATCCTTAAGGATCAATAATGTTTATGGAACGATATTTTGTTGACGCGAGCTGTGCGGTACAAAACAGAGGAGATACTGTAGTGTTTATGTGACGTAATAAACTTGCAAAACATGGCGAAACAGGTACTGATTTTTGGTGTTTTTTTTTTGGCTGTTTTTTCGTTGTTATCCAATATCCAGCCTTGAAAAGTAGCGGAATGTGGTCCTGATCTATAGAAGCCCCAGTGTATGAGATATGAGCACATTCCTGCCAGCGGTTTCAGAGGAGATAGGTGAAGTTACGCGGTGGCGATTTAGCAGAATTAATATATAGATAGAAGAGATAGATATTATGTATAAGAATGTACTGACGATAGGCGAAATTCCAAACGAAGGATTTATCCATGCAACAATTAGATGATTATCCGTCATACAATTATACTTTACTTATTTTAATTTTTTCCATTATAATCCAATTATGTATGTATTTTTATAATAATTTTTCATCTATATCTTGAAATGCTCTATTATCATTATTATTATTATCATTTAAAATGTGTCTTTCTTTTTGTCTTTTTTTTCCTCGTTAATGTGTTGTTAAATGTTTTGGGCACATCCATCACAAGCTCTGCTTTTCGGAATTGTGCCCCCTTCAATACTAATCCTATTTATTTGTTACATTTCAATGTAATTCACGTTTTGAAGGTAATAAACGTTGTTTCTTTTACTTTACCTATAAGCTATGAATTACAGTAGCTTCAAAATTGGCGTTGTATGGAATGAAGACTCTTGGTTTAAATCCGTAATGATATCCTACGATTCCCACCACAGACCTATATTTATATGGTGTTTGTGTTTCCAGTGGTTAGCAGCAACCTGACAATATATATATATATATATATATCTGTCTCTTAATATGAAATGCCTATTTGCTTTAATTGATATTATTATACTATATTAGCAGTATTGTAGTTACAGATACATAAGTCCATTTAACTCTTAGTCGGAGGTGCACTTCAGGTCATTTTTGTATCATATATTCAATTAGACCGACTTGATTTGATCTGATTTATTATATTTCTTGAAAATAAAAATAGACCATACTAAACCTTGTGTACATGGGTCAATGGTCATATCGGCATATTTGTTTTTAAAAATGGTCCAATCCAATAAACAGAAACATGTGTAAATGAATAATTTGAGATCACTATCAAGTCTCTACAGACAGTATGATAGGCATATGCATTGAAATATGTCATTGAAGCAAACATTGAAGCATTTCCGGTCATTTGTTTAGCAAACTTTTCTATTATTCCAAATAGAAACATGAAAACATGAATATTCCAAACAAATTGGTACCAAAATTAACTCTCTACCGCCAGTGGTTGTGGAGATATAATGATTCTATGGCTATGACTTTGAAACATGTTAAACGGCTTTTCCGGTCATATTTTAGTAATGTGCTCAGAACAAACTGGCATCAAAATTAACTCTCCACCACAGCGGTTGTGGAGATAATAAGGACTCAGTTAACTATGACATTTGAAGCATGTCAAAGGTCAAAAACGACATTTCCGGTCATTTTGTAACAAAGTTTTTGTTGGAACAAATATAAACATAATTGTTTCGAACAAATTGACACGACAATTAACTCTCTACCACCAGTGGTTGCGGAGATATGATCACCATATGGCTACAACCTTGAAACGTGTCAAAGGTTAGAAACGGCTTTTCCGGTCATTTTGTAGTATTCTGAACAAATAGACACCAAAATTAACTCTCTACCACCAGCATGGTTTCGGAGATATGACGACCGTATAGCTATAACATTTGATTCTGACCTTTTGCCCTTTCACCACATTTTGAAAATGTGTTACCAAGCCAAAATGATTCTTAGTCCACCTTAAACCAATTTCTGAAGTCAAATTATCTGGACCTCAAAGTGCATACACAGCCTCGTCTGGCTACTAGGGTATGATGTGTTGTGAGCGAATTTAATTTGTAATTGTCCTGTATTCTTGTTAATAATAATAATAATAATAATAATAATAATAATAAAATAATAATAATAATAATAATAATAATGATAATGATAATAATAATAATAATAATAATAATATTAATATTAATAATAATAATAATAATAATAATAATAATAATAATAATATGCAGAAATTTATAACGCGCAAATTCAAAAAACATTATCAAAAGCGCAGTGAACAATTAACCCAATTTAAGCGATTTTGTAAACAAAAATAGATGCTTAAAATACTATGATGTCGTGCATTTGAGGCAACAACATCGATATATTTAAAAGGACTATAAAATGACAGACGCGAAAAGTTTGCTTTTTAACATTTTTATGTGATGAATATTCACACCAATGTCTTGGTATCATATAATAATACAAGATGTAATAATATCTAAATTGTTGGGCCTAATGTCAGCGTCGAGTTTCCTAGTCCTGTTATCATTCGTTAATTGAACAACTATTTAATAGTATTTAGTATTTTTAGACTGGCTGTAAATGTATTAAACTTCAGAATCTACTATCAATCACTTTTTTTTTATTCTTGCATTGGTTCAAATACAAACCCCATACAAAAACTGAATCTCGAGGCCATAAAAGCGAATGGTACGTCGTGTGTTGTTTTATCAAAATCGAACTCTAGGTTACTCGCTAAGTTTGCTCGCGATGCACAAAACAGCTGATCACTGAGGCTGACGCAGGCATGAAAACAGCGCATGCGCAAAATACGTTCTATAAGGATGATTATGAATTCATAGAATTTTACCAAAATATCCTACGTTAAGAAAATTCACAGCCTGAAAATACACATTTATATACAACTCGCGAGTGAAGGCCTACAGGGAGGGGATCTTTAACTGAAAAGAAATTTTTTTTTTCAATGAGGAAAAACGATTTTTAAAATTATATCATTCAAAATTCATTTGATAAGACACGGATTTCTTACAAAGAAAATGTGCCAACATAATGGTAATTTGAAGACAAAAGTGATGGGTGCATTTTTTTCAGTCTTTTCTAGTGAATTTTTACTTGGATAGTGAACTGAATTAAAACAGCCAAAATTAGTTTGATCAATGGCTATATTCGACTGGTCGTTCTTCGTTAAACCACGCCCACCTGCGCAGTGGTAAAATCTTACCTAACGAAGGCGAGCAGTTGAATAGAAAGCTGGTAAATACTCAACAAAACAAAATGGCTGCGTAGTTACAAACCAGTTGAATGAAAATAGTACCAGTCGAATAAAATGAATGAAGACAAGATTTCTTAAGAATGGCAGTTAATGCCTGGATGTTGGAATGAAAGCCTGTCCAACTATTTAATTATTTCTTTTTTAAATGCCTAGACCACTTTCACAATCACGTTTCTGACTGCAATCGAATTTTGTGTAACGTTTTTTTTTTTTTCTAAAATAAAGATATTTTGGTATACCATATGAATTTGTAAGGGCCAAAACAGCACCTAACAGAACAGATTAATTCTTACTTTCTAGCGCGTATCATTCAATGTTTCCTGTGCGAGTTCAGCGCGTGATGTATAGGCTACGTAGTGAACCGGCGAACGCTTGCATTCATTTCACTGTAACATGTGAATTTTGAGGGAAGCAAAATTATAACTGCAAACCTAATTATATTACCATGATGAGAATCTACTGATCATAAGCTTTCCATTCATATATTTCATGAAGTAAAAAGAGCAATATTAAGGGTCTAACTTATCAAACAAACACCAGGCACACTCCAGTCTTCGCATCAGTCGCCTGAGAAAAATTATTACGCTGAAACAAGCGCCTGTATACAATACAGTCAATGGTGTTTGGAAGGCTTGATTCTATTGGTTTCCAAAAGTGACGGAGCTAAATATTGACTAATCACAACCATTTTTACAACTAGTATGGTAGAAAAAATAAAGATCAACTTACAGAGAGAAAGAAACCGATTGGTCAAATACTTTGCGTTATTCTGATTAGAATTTAGTAACATGAGCCGTGAAAGGTAAAAAATCTGCTTTCTACGCTAGAAATCCAATGTAGTTCCAAATCCAACGGGATAAAACATAAATCTATCTCGTTTCATTTCATCTCATTAGAAAGATGAAAAATAGATCGTTTAATTATTTTTAAAAAGGAGAAAATTGATCTGATGAGCAGTTCCAAAGTTATGGTAGAAAAGGCTGTAAAAAAGGGTGTTTTAAGGTTTTTTTTAGAGTAGTTTTATCAATTTATGCCAGCGCGCTACTAAAGAGGGCGTACAAATTCATATGTATGGTAATAGTTACAACGAGGGATACATATCAAACTTAGGTAACAGCGTCTGACCGGTATGTACCTCAATTCAATGTTGAATGATAATTGTATTGTACTTTTTAAAAATGAGAACAATCTCCATTGTTCTCGTCTAATTATTAATTATTAATAAAGGTTTTCCATCAGGCACTCAACGACTCCAACCCAAAATTAAACTCAGACTCGAACACACACACTCATGTCAATTTTCTTGATGTCACAGTTAAGATCAACAATGGTAACATAGCCACATCTATCTACCATAAACCTACAGACAGAAATACTTATCTTAGTCCATTCAGCTTTCATCCACCACACACAACCAAATCTATAGCCAAGCCCTTAGACATCATCGTATCTGCTTTGACACTATTGATAGGGAACAGCAACTCAACCACCTCCGTAATTCATTCAACAACCTGCACTACAATTCCAAACTTGTTAATGAACAAATCTCTAAAGCCACTAGGATAGCACGAACCTCATGACCCACAGAAAGAAGGAGACCGATCATCGTGTCCCACCTATCGTCAAATCCACTCGTTAAACCATTACAACACATTATCAACGATCTATACTAGATAGCAAAGTGATCCTGTACTTCATAAAACCATACCTAACAAACCTATGCTTGCGTACAAACAACAACCCAACCTCAAACAATAGCTTACTTCTAACAAAGTACCCCACACCCCCACCACTAAGGGCACCATTCTATATAACCCACAGAAATGCCGATTTTTGCCCACATAGCAACACTAGCAGTACCATTACAGGGCCTAATCAAGTTATATACTGTACAGAATCAGTGGATCGTTTTCATGTTTTTCATCTAACGCCATCTATGCCATTACATGCACTAAATGTCCTGGTACTATTTACATAGGAGAAACTTGCCAAACTGTCAGACAACGGATAATGTCATAAATTTGACATTTGTCACAACAGCAATTCATTTCAATTTACCAGGACATAATATTACACACTTTAAAGTAGCTGTGCTCCTAAAAAATTGCTTTAAAAACAGAAATGACAGATTAAATGCCGAACAAACATTTATTCATAAATGTAATAGCATTAATATTGGCCTCAATATAGATGTAGGCTTCAGCCACTATAAGATGATAAGACGTTTGTTATACTAACTCCATTGTTCATAATTAGCTCCATGACTGCACAGATAGTTTATCTGCCTAGCTCTGTTTATTAGTAGAATAGTAAGTTGCTTGATTACACTTGTTATCTCTGATCATTGTATACTACATTGTATCCGACTGCATGCTAATTGGTTATTTGTGCTGTTGCTAATTATGTATGCATAAACTCTTTTCTATTTTGTTTTCAATCTTTTACTTCACACACCTGATGAAGCTGACATTAACTGCCAGCAAAAGCTTGTGTTGAATAAATAACATCTAAGTTAGTTTCAGAGTGCTGCCTTTTAATTTTCTTTGTTAATTATTAATTAAATTAAATTAAATATATATATCACACAGGTCAAAAATATCTAAATCTAAAAGGCCTTATAATAGGGGGTCCTTAAAATACTTAATATGTCACGTCGGCGTTGGTTATGAAATAAATTCCAAATGTTCTCACCTCAGCTATGCATGTGATTTCAAACATGTTTCCTTCAGTGATATCCTTAATGTACCTCTGTAATGCAGATAAAGAATATTATATATTTCATTATAAAATTAAAGTTTTTGTAACAATAATTAAGCTTAAATTTGATAGCCAGATAATACCTTAACATAATGGAATAGGCTTTCACATGTAATGTCTTTTCCATCAATTCTTTTGAGTTCGGGCACATCTGCTAAAAACAGAAGCTGCACCAATTCCTTCATCTGCACTTGAAATCTGTTACCAATGTCTAAAAATGATTGATCATATCACATTTAAGATTTTAAGTGCAAATTTTCATTATTAGCCTTTTCGTTATTGTTATTAAGTACCATCATTATTGCTAATATTATCATTGTGATTATCATTACCTTAATTATTTAGTACTCATGGATTAACTTTTTTTTTGTAGAATTACTGCAGTTTTTTTTTCACCACCAGATGGAACCATATCAATTAAGTTTCTTCAAGATATTTAATGTTTTACTAATAAATTATAATGTTGCATCTCTATTGCTTTAAATGTTTCCTATTTATTTGATGTTGCTGTTTTTGTACGTAACTTATTTGTTTTTAATAGCCTTAGTCTAAGTCTTTTTATATCGTTGTTTGAATTGTAATACCATCAAGATCCTAGTAGCTACTTCTAAGCAAGGGGTTAACATTTTACATACTCTTGCTTACCTTTAAATTTCCCACTGCTCTCACCCTCAACAATTTCATCTCCTGGGCGAGGCATAAGAAAACACATTATAGTATCAAACACCTGATGAATGGAGTTTCGTAAATCTATATTTTCTTTACTTTGGTTTGGGGATATTTCCTATAATAAAAACAATTAATCAAGAAATCATCAAATAAAATGTTAAAGAAATGAATGAATAAAGAAATTAGTAAGTGAATCAATGAATTAATTAATTAAATGAATGAATAAATGTCTTTATGAATTGGTTGATTAAATGGACGAATTAATGAATTAACTAACCTACCAATGAATCTTACAAATAAGTAAATGAATGAATAGATAAATCATAAAGAAGAATCATAACATACAAAAAAAGATAATAATAGTTTGAGCAATTCTAATGCTAATGCTAAATGAAACTTCAAATAGAACAATAATAAACTTTGAAAGAGGTTTGTAAGAAGTATGTTTAAATCCTGATGGTGTAAATGTTTGTTTTTAGGTAAGTCAGTGTACAAATACTGTTTCATTGTCCTTCTATAGGTACCATCAATTTGGATGAATATTCTTTCTAT